AATTCGGTAAGATGATGCAAAAATTCAAGGTTTCACGTTTAAATCTTGTTCAAAGCGCTAGCTTTCGATATCTATAATTAAAATCTATTACAAAGAAATAATAGATTAAAATCAGCTAGCAGATATAACTTGATTAAAGCACATTAACATGTAGTCTTAAATTTTGAAAAGATTTTCCTTGAGTAGTAGTTTATTTACTATATAAATTTAGAACATTTACTACAATAAAAATCGATTTTAACTAATTTGATATAAAATTAAATTAAGAAAAAATAAAGTAAAATAAATGAATTTAATTAATAAAATTAAAATTATATTCATTTGTCTTTTATTTTCATCGTAAATTAATTTTCTATCAAATTGTTTAGACAATAGGTGCACTGTAATTAGTGTCGAAAATCATTCGGTAAAGCAAATGAGGCAAATTTATTGATTGATAAAAGCATTAAAGTTGTTTGCGTGAAGACAAAATTTTTTTTTGTATTTGGCTTTGATAGATACATACGAGCGGTAGTACAAATAATTCGGATAGTGTTATCAACACTGTATTTGTATTATAACCTACCGTGATTAAGCCCCATAAACGTCCCAGTCCACCGATAAATATAAGTAGTGTAATACGACGTAAATCACGACCATCATGTTCAATATTAGGCAAGCTGCGTAATAATAGTATTCCCATGGCAAGAGGGAGGCCTGACAAGTAACGAAAATGGCTATCCAACGAAATATTACAACGAATATCTTTTTCGAGCATCATAGGACCTTTAATAATCCCTGATAGACCATTACTAAGTGGGATAAGTGCAGTGAGACCAACAGCTATTTTCAAACCAAAACGTTCAAGAGTAGTTGCCATTGTATTGAACTAGTACGTCACCACGAGTTTAATATGATGAATCAAGCAACAATATCTCTTATCATTATCACTTTTCATTGGTCGTCAGAAATAAGCCAAACGCAACATAATTCATATATGAGTCAACGAGTCTATATTCCATCCCATAATAGAGACGCGTTATATAAAAGAGTTAGATGACTCTAACTGTAAATTACATCTTTCGCTTCAAACGTAATAGAGATATGAGCACAAACTAAAGGACGATTGATAGATCGTCATAGAGGTACGTGTAATTTTGCAAATGGAGAATATTTTCGGCTTGATATTTCTTCAGATCAAGCAAATCACACCAACTAATCATGTCATTGTATATGGGTAGAGAGCGAAAAAAAGACGGTTGGATCATTTCTCTAATCAACTGAGAGAATGACAAGAGCAAGAGGACTAACAGATAATTTACAAAAACAGATCAAGAACTAATCATCCCAAAAAAAGACAATTTCATTAATAACTACAATTCCGTATAGCTTGCACCGAAAGCTTAAGATGTCTTGACCAAGCTATATCTCTGGGAAGCAAGTCGGCAAAAAGAAAACACTTAAGGCATTAATTATAATAACAAGTGGCGTGTATTGACTGTCGGTACACCTCACACTAGACTGATAGAATTGAAATATCTATATAGGGATATATCTAGATTTGAATACATTTCAAGAAAGCTACTAGACAAATATCCACGATAACTCGATATGCACTGGCAGAAAGTTTTGCAAAAACTAATTTTTTCGTATTATACAACTTTGTTTTTTGTTTTTTTTTTATAAAAATATCGATCCTTAGTATGCCACATGTTCTTTCATTAATGTTCTTAACATTGATTTTCTATTTTAAATGATAATTAAGTATAGTGGATGAATCATTTTTTTTTTCGACATTTTGATGTAAGTTGAATTACTGAAACTGTCAATCATATGATGTCACAAGTAATAGTATATTGACTTTAGCAATATTATCTTCGAAATTTTAATATTTTGAATAAAAAAACTTGAAATTGAAAGTTTTTGTATTTCAAATCATTTACATGTTATCCTGCCTCATTCGGACTTCCAATGATGCTTATGTTGTACATTTATTGAATGATAGAGATAAAATAGTGTAATTTGTTTTTTTTTCTATTCGAAATAAACTACAATTATCATAAGTTTTATTTGCGTCTTAATTCATAAAGAAATTTCCAGTATCAAGTGTCAAATATATATCTAAACTTGGAATACGTTTAAGCTATCATATGTTGTGTTGATATATGAGTTCAAAAATATATTTCACTCAAGATCATTACATTTTTTTTAGCATTCATATCAATTTTAATTATGAGAATTCGAATTGATATTTGAAATTGAAATAAGATTAAGTTATCAGTAGTTGAGCTTTTTTTTAACTTTAGCTATAAAAGTAGCTCATGATAAGTTGAATTTATCTATGAAGTTAAAAAATGAATTTCATTTAAGCCTCCTCAAAAAACGATCTCAGCTCAGATACGTTCAAATCGCATGAAATTTTCAGCCCAATACTATGGTCTCGACAGAGATATTCTTGCCTAACAAGAATCAAACATAGCTGATGTGACATCCCAAATTTCTCTATTCAGGTGCATTCTATATATTTAATTATTTTTCCATTGAAAGATCATGTCAGGGAGTGGGTGTGGCTAAGCGTCTTAACCTTTCATTAACCTACATCCCACACTCAACGTTTCGCAGTATTCCAAGGACGTTCTTTTACACGATGTTCTGTGATGTGAAATAGTTATATACCAAATATGTGCCCATCCAATGCGTAGTACACCTTATCTCTTTTCATTATCTATACCGAAGAACGAAAACGATTTACCGTTTCTTCATTTCCAGCAAACGGTAGTATAAGAGTGACTTGACGGAATAAAATTGTGTTTGGTTGTCATCAAGCGACGGTTTACTCCTACTTTTACTGTTGAAACTATAACTGCAGTTACTTGCCGAATAATTACTATGATTAATAGGTGTCTCAAACAATAAGAAAGATAATATGATTAATGTAAAGAAATGAATGTGTTTTAACCCTTTGGTTGGAAGATTGTTTTTAAAAATTCAAATTTTGTTAGTATTACAGTTCAAAACAAGGGACAACACATAGACATGCATTGCATTCAGCACGCTGATATTTTGTATCAGTTCTTTTTTTGGGCCTATTGTATTATTGCAAACATGTTACGTTAGCCTCTTTATTTCTGCAGATGTACTTTCAACTGAATAAGCTTGAATAAGTGAAGTGAAGTATCGAGTAGTGAGCCTCAATTGCTTTTCTAAGAATGGTTCTCTCTTTTTTCATTATTTTGGTTTTCAATAGATTCGATGATAGATCGGGTCACTTCAAGTCGAAAGCCGGATAGATGTATTGTCTTTCCGATCTTGAACTTGTACACGATGAAGACATTGAGTAAAGTAACATGAAGCAGATATAAAAATAATTTACAAGTATAATAACATCTAACATATCCTTTTAGACAGGATCGGTTCTCATGAGTACCTTAGGTTTTAGCAAATTTTCATTTAAGACTTAATTGTATTACGGGAGTGGGTGTGGGTCTGAGAATGAGTGTTCTCTTTATCATTCTTCATACCAATACCCACACCCTCACCATGATTCCGCTGAAATTAAATCGAATTTTATAAAATGATCATAGTAACAAATCTAATCAGAATCATCGTTAAGTTTTATTATCATAAACAAAAAAAAACCTACTAATCAAAGTAAAAAAACAGCTGTTCGCGTTTGATACTACTGCCTTTGTTTGTATATAAAAGCAAACATCAGATATAAGAGAAAAAGAAGATAACAACAAGAAATAAAAAAAACAAAAGATATAAAATCTTTAATTTCCTAGATAGATGAATTTATTTAGCTTTGTTTTCAATTTTTGCCTTAGTTGATTTAGCTGATTGTTTGACTTTTGATCTTGATGCTAAACCAAGTCGTAATAAAAGTAAAAGTGAAATAAAAATGAATGTACCGGTATATTCGATGGAATAATTTAATTTTTGAAATGTAATTATCGCATTTATCATTACCATCAATAAAATAAGATTTGCCAATGTTTGTGAAAAACCTAAAATTTGTTCATAAAAGAAAGGCAAACTTTTTTTTCTCTATATTTTATTTTTTTTTTTTTTTTACCAAGAAGTAATAAAAATCCAGAAGCTACTTCAGTGAAACCAATTGTTAAACGATAATTATCTGCATTTGGACGCCAACCAGTTTGACGATGAAATGGAAATTCTTTATTATATTTTCCAAATTCATTTTTCATATGTGTATATTGTTCAGGAAAAAATTGTGGTGTTAATTTAGTGTGACCGGAAAAAATAAATAACGTTCCAAGTATAAGAGTTAATAAATGTAGACCAATTGAAGCCATTTGTTCGACAAAAACAAAAAATATTGAGTTACTTTTTAATGAAATGATGATATTTCATCGAAAGGATATATCTTTTTTTAATTAAACCAATCAAACATAACCACAATAAATCCTGGATGAGTCATAGTTTTGTTATCAGATTGTAACGTCATTTATGCATTTGATTTATAGTTGCAGGCGGATGATTCCTATACTACAATTTAGGTATCAAAAAAATCGAAATTTAATTTACAATAGAATGATATACTTCTGATTAGGGGGCGTTTTCTCTAAACTTGGTTTTTAGACCAAAACATTTTGCTTGGGCAACTTACTTTAATTGTCACCATAGTAGCAGTAGCCATTCTTGAAAAGCCAGTTATTAACATGTTCGTCTCTGCAGAACGACCTCTTTCTTGATGCTTTATAAATAAAATAAGAGTTGCCCCTGATAAGTATATTATAAAAATATTTCTTTTTCAGTTCTAGAGTATATTACATGAAAATCTTTTGAATTTATTCATAGGTTTTAAATAGATATAGATGTCACTGATGAAAAGTGCATCTGCTATTAATTCGAAGAAAGAAATGTCTTTTAATCCCCCTTTGGGAAATACCATTTTGTTTGCATCATATCNGATTTACATCATATTTATTTTTTCATCTCGATATCGATAAATATTCTTCAAAACAACAGTAATTCCATTTGTTATGTGAATTGTACAAATGGGTGCTGGAGATAGTGTAATTAATAGTGGTCTTACTATTACATTAGCAGATCGACCGACGGATAATGCTTTCTATTGGACGGGCGAACGTGTTGAAGGCATACTTGAGTTTGTGAATAATCATCATCATTCGAATTTAAAACTGAAAGGAGCTTACATCGAGTTGATCGGTGAAATTGCTTATACAACACAGCAAACAACAACATGCATTAATGGCATTCAGACGACAACGACTATGAATAGCAACATTTTTCAGTCAATGCATACTACCAGTTGCTTGGAACCACTCGCTATTCCAAATCATACCGATTTCCCAGTCACGACTACTACTGTTCAAACGCATGAATTGCCGTTTTTTAATCAACGACAAAATTTCTTGTCTTCCATGGAAGAAGTAAGACAAAAGAAGTTTTTTGTTATGATAATCTACAAGCAGATGAAATTTCTATACTTAGATCAATAATGAAATTATTCTTCAACATGGTATCTACTATAAATGGTCATTTAGTTTTGATCTCCCATGCCATCTTCCACCTTCATTACCTGCTGACAGTCCATTAGAACGGTATGCTCAGTATTTTCTTTGTGTTACGTTGAAACGAAATCGTTTGCATCGAAATAATTTTAAATCTATTCCATTAACTGTATGTCCTCGTCTAAATGTTCTTCATTACCCACATTATTCACTTGAACTTGAAAATGAAAATCGTAAAGATGTTCATTTACATGCAATTATTTCTCAAAATTTTATTGTACCTGGTACAAATATTTCCATTCAATACGATTTGCGAAATCCTAAACGATCTATGACTGATCGTATTGAAGTTCGGTTAGTTCAATATCGTCAAATGTCATCCTGTGGGACAGTACAAAAAGCTATTGTTGAGATGGATGTACCTTACATAAGAAAACCTCGAGAAGAATATTTGGAAGGAACATTCAACTTGAAAATTTCTGATATATATCTACCGCCTACTTGGCCTCATCCATCTAGCAGCAGTGAACTGGTTCTAAATTCCAATATTGTTTCGGTAAAATATGAATTGACAATGACTGTGAAATTACATGGAACTATGCCTAATTTTTTACTCATGTTTCCAATTACGATGGGTACTCCAAAGTAATTGTAAGAAAATGAATTCCGAGATAGACTTCAAAAGATCATAGCTTTGGGCTGAACATTGGATGTTTTGAACATCATTGAACTTTTGTATAAACCTTGTATACATAAACAAAAAACTCTCATTACTCCATATGGTCGGTATTCAGTTCGGTACTTTTAAGGTTGAAAAAGACATATCTGTTGTCAAATAGATATCTTCATTTACATGAAATTTTTTTTCATAGGAAGTTAATCGATCATTAAACATAGATAACAGAGAGTGAATCGAATCGTGTTTTTCTGGAACGAGTTCGGCTCGGTTCGACCTCAGTTTTCAGAAAACGGTTCGAGTTCCGTTCGCTTTGGTTTTGTTTTGTAAAAGTCAATTCGAGTTGGGTTTCGTTCGAGTAGCATTAGTTTCATCTAATCAAGAGTAGACCATAGGTCAAAACTTATTTCTCGAATGATTGAAGGTGTCACCTTAGAGCTGATATTTGCATAAATTAACACTAATTCACACATTTGTGAATTAATATAAATTTTCATTATTAATACATGGAATCAGCAGTTTTTAAGTTTTGATATTAATCTCGCACCACTGTTCACGATTATTCATCGTGATTTAGGAAAACGACGAAGCTTGCGAAAGAAAATGATAGAAGAATTATGCCCTACAGAAGTGACTCATCATCATAATCACAATTATTGCAACTCTTATGAAGAAGAAAACATACTTCTATACACGGATATTAAATGAAGCGTGTAAAACAATCAATAAAAGTTCAATTTATCTTCGCTGACAGCATCATATTTTTCAAATCGACGACAGTTCAATCAACCATTTTTCATCTAAGATTATACGGTGTTTAACTATCTTTCAAAGAATTAGCTCGAGTTCGGTTTGGTTCGGTTCGGTTCGACTTGATTTTTGAAACAATGGTTTGAGTTCGGTCCGATTCGGCTGTTTTTTAAAAGTCAGTTCGAGTTCGGTTCGGTTCGTTTTCGCTCTCTGATAGATAATGCTTGGCAAGATTTTAGGATGTGGAGGTGTGGGTATGGGTGAGTGTTAATGTTGGCGTGCAGAAAAGGAATATCTACACCCACACTAACTCCCACGTTCACACTCACAGGCACCTACAACGACACCCACACTCACACCCACACCATCAAGCAGATAAATGTTTATTTAAAAGGTATCTCTTTCGAGAAGCTACGGTTGGATGGTCTTATTGAAAGTGAAAATTGTTTGGGAACATCGCTCCCTACAAAACTTCATCTAGAACCCAATCGAATTGTTTGATTGCTGGCCAATCTAATTTCGATGACTTCGGATCTCCCCTCTTGAATGATAAAAACCATAGGTCGCTATCGGCTGCTGTTCTCACGTTATTCAAAAAGTACCCATGGTTATTTATTTTTGAAAAAGGATTCTATCTATTTTATTTATTTAATCTGCTATTTAAATGAGAAAAAGAGATAATCAAATAGTCAATTATTAGGATAAGTCTAAATTAATTTAATGTGTGCCATTGCCATGTTGCTGGCAGTATATCTTGATATTGAGCCGCGTATTGATTTAATTTAATAAATTCATCCAAATTGTCGGGTTTCGGATAGAGAGTTGCCAGATTATGAGCATAAGCATATTCAGCAAGCTTGACAGCGATAGCTCGTGATGCATCACGAATTCTTTCAATAGATGGGTAGACAAGGCCAACAGCTAGGTCGTCTTCTGTTACTAATTCTGATAGAGTTTTTGCAGCAATATAAAATAATTCTTCGGGTATATGTCGAATACGACAGGTAACAACAGCTAAGCCTACACCGGGAAATATATATGAATTGTTGCCTTGGCCAGGTACATAAGTTTTGCCTTGATATTTAACACTAGGAAAAGGTGAACCGGATGCAAATACACATTGACCATTAGTAGCTTCATAGGCTTCTTGTGCTGTGCATTCAGCTTTCGATGTTGGGTTTGAAAGTGCAAATATAACCGGATGTTCATTCAATGAGGCCATCTTTTCAAGAATTTCACGTGTGAATGCAGGTCCTTGTCCAGCAGCACCTATGAAAAAAAACAAACGAACGGTGACATAAATCGAATCAATTGTTTGGTTACCCACAAGTCACAACAGAACTACAGAGAGTCACCATACGGAAAATGCTTAGCTGTCTTTGAGATATGAATTCCTTTATTTCGTTAGCAGAGATGCAACAGTGTTAACTACTGGGATATCCCTGTTAACTGGTTCATATCAACCAAAAAGATCAGTATCAGTAGAACTATCAGTAATATACATGTAGATATGTACCAGGCTGAAACTCGTAAGTGGGAAAAAACTGATCGATAATTATCAACTTTTTCATTGCACTGAGTCCATGCGATTCGACAGACTTTAAAAAAGTCAGATACTGGTGAACCATCTAAACTAATAAATAACTGAGCGACCCAATCAAGTGGAATTGGTGTATCACTAATAGAAACCGAAAACCAACCGAACCCAACTCAAACTAAGCTTCGAAAAGTATCTAATTGTAATGGAGACAAACGCATGAGAATTTTAATCGATTGAGCTATCATATTTTTTGTAAAACGGTATCACTTCGGATAGTTATCAAGCAAGCTTTCACGGATTGTGTTGCATCCGAGACCGGAAATGAAATGAACGAAGTCGTTATAGTTCGGTTCGACTACATTTTGGAAAGACCGATTGATTTTTGGTCTCTGTTTCCGAATACACTACCACTCAAACAGAGAAGCCTTAACTCCTTTAGTTCTCTGCAGTTCTTTAAAATAAAGCATTCATTTATCGTTTTTTCCAAAAGTAGTACTAAAGTACCGACCATATTCATCATCTCTTTACCTGTTCACCCCGTCACATAAGTTGTGAACGTGAACGCGAGTGAAGGCCCAGGTAAGAGAGCTGATTTGTATGTATTCTTTGGTGAAAAGAAAATTGAAACTCATAGTCACAGTTTCATCGATATTGTACACTAAAATAAAATGCGTCGTAATTTGTGGCACAATATACAACCCATTCTTGCACGAAGCATTCTGAAAACTGAATCTAGTGAGATCTTGAGGTTGGGGTTGCCTCGAGTTGATTAGACGTTCATCAGATAGTTTCAGGATAGGCCTGTCTCAATCATCAATAACAATCGGGATATTCTTGACTAATAAATAATCGAGAAAAAAACTATTAATATAAAAATACTGTAAGTTTCGTATATTCAATCAAGTTCTCTAAATATAGCTGTAGGCGCAAAGCAAAATGTTAAGTGACTGGTCAGCGGACAAAACACGACGAATTCATATATGACACATTTTCGTCATCGAATCTGCAGCACTCACCCTCGAGTTGACGAACAGTTTGAGACTACCTTATCGCGACTTATTTTAACACTCAATAAATCGTTTGAGTACCGATAAGAAAGGTTGGCTTGATAGCATCAACAATATCGACTAGTTTTGTGATTGGTTCTCGTTCGTGTGTATAACGCTTCTTTTCTTCATTCAATCCACCCGTTGGACGATCCTAATAGTAAACACCTCATATCATTTCATAAACTATGCAGAAGAAATTTTACCTTGACAATAAGTCCTTTTGAATCAACTAAAAATATTATCTTACGAGCATCTTCAGCGCTCAATCCGTCGCGTTCCATGGCGACTACGAGCAAGTCTGCGATGCCAATAGACGCCTAATAAAGAGACATAAACGTATATTACAAAGAGTAAGATAAATATCACTTACTTCACCGGCTCCATAAAAGAGGAATCTATTGTCGGACAATGCTCGCTTAGTAATTCTTATTGAACTGAGAATACCAGCAACAGCTACACTAGCCGTACCTTGGATATCATCATTGAATGTGCAATATACATCTCGATATTTTTTCAAAAGGCGAAATGCATTATGATTCTATTCAAATTAAATAAATATACATCTTAGTAAATACAAGCCTATTAGTTACCGCAAAATCTTCGAATTGAATCAAACAAAGATGTCCAAATCTAAAAGCACACTAACAAATGAAAAAAAAACAAACTGGAGGATATTCCACTATTACCGTTTACTAACTGCTTGCATGAATTCATCGATAAAATCATCATATTCTTTGCCAGTGACGCGTTTTTGTCTTATGCCCAAATAGTATCTGTCTTTGAGAAGCGTCTAAACCATTTGTTTAGAATTTATCTTTACTACAAATGAACAAATATTCTCTCACTTCATTATTTGTTCCCACATCAAGCATCAATGGCAAACAGTACTCAGGAGCCACACCGGCTAATGCTGTATACAAACTTAATTTGCCGACAGGAATACCCATGCCATTACAGCCTAAATCACCCAAGCCCAATATGCGTTCACCATCAGTAACTACAATAGCCTATATAAACAATATTAATTCTTTTCTTCTACTTGAGACATACAGATAGAAACTTACTCGAACGTCATGTTCAGGCCAATTTGCAAGAACATCGTAAACGTGACCTTTGTCATGTATCGCAACAAACGAACCTCTAAATAAAACAATGACTTATTTGAGAGAGTGCCCATGGCGACAGCAGTAACGCTCAGTGAAACGATTCTTGAGTTAATTCTCTCTTAGAATGAATGATTTCCCTTCGTCCACTCTTTATACAGCGATAGTAGAACGAGAACGAAAGAGAAAATATATAGTACTATGAAAAGAAAAGAACAGAAGCATGCGATAAACTCACTTGTGGCATATGGTTATATAAGGAGGAGGAATAGATTGAATGTGATAAGTGAGAAACAAACGATGTAGTAATTAGCAGTACATAAGTATAGAAGAAGATAAGATAGAACATGGGATAATAGCCGATGACACGATCAGGTTAGAATAGCACATATATAATCAATCAACTCAAACAAATAGTGACAATATATAATGATCCAAAATAAACTCAACAGAGAGCGTCACACTCAGTTCCCCCTTCACCGAAAAAAATTATGAAAGACGTTGTTCGAGATTTCACTTTTAGAATATCTCTTTTTCCTATTCTTTTCTCTTCTCTTCCTCTGAATATATATTATCTCTTCTTCTCCATATATCATTTTCTTTGACTTTTCATTTTGTCTTCTCATTTAAAACGACAGATGTGTTATTTGACATACATATATGTGCCCATACATTTCTGCTGATTGAAATAAATAAGAGGAGGTTAAGGATGACAGCCTATTATACATGTATTTTAACCTCAAAGGGAGAGGGGACATTAACTCCTGTATATGGACCTTTAGATTCCTTCTGACGAGATTTTTCACACGTATATTTCATTCACCAGGATGGCACAGCCCAAAGTTCTGGCACATCAATGGAGGCATCGGTCGAGATTTTTATCTACATTTGAAAAGTTACAGTCTAAAACCATCTAATCCAATTTTTAGCTCATTTCGATTTACTATAATAAAATTCGCTAATAGCGACTTAAAATTCTTCGAATTCAAAGTTCTCACATTACTTGATTTTTTATTTAGTTATATACCATTCTACTAGGCTTCTTTAGCTAATCAAAAAATATCTAACTATGAGTCGACGAAGAAACCAATTTTATGAAAGAAACTGTTAGCACAGTCTCTGCGGGTTTAAATGTAAAACACGATATACCCGTTGTTGCTAACCTCCTTTCTTATGCGTATCGGGGTATACTTCGGCATCATTCTTTACTTTAGAGCATAGAACTTCAACAGGAAAACATTCCACAGATATTTTGACTGGACTTTAGTTTTACATGATCTCTAAGAGTATTCTGAAGCCGTCCATTACTGTCTGTGGTGGGTAATTAATTAATTGAATAGCGATTAACCGATGGATTAATTAAAATGTCTGTAACGGGTCACGATTGTGCCGATATTTATATCACCTCTCATTATTCTTCTTCTCTCTTTTCTCTCTCTCTAGTGTTTCTTCTATGTTTATATATCTCTCGCTCTTTCTCTCTCCAATGTAAGCTTGTGTTCAATGTGAAATAGATACACTCTGGATCCGTGAAGGAGCTAATAAACATCATTACCAGGTACCATTGAGCTACTCCAATCCAGGTTGGTCGTTATATGTCAACCCTAATAGTTAATAACACGATATAACTTCATTGTTATAACGGTGTGGGAGGAGAGGAGGTGCAGAATTTCTACTTTATATAGTGCATCTTTAGAGAATTTTGTGCTCTACAAAATCCGTGTCCAGACTTTAGAAAGAAAGAAACCTATAAAAAAAAAGAATGAAAAGCGTCATTGATTGACATGTATATATACCTAACATTTAGCCGATTTGGTTGAAGGAATGGCGATTTGATAAAAACTAATATGACATTCAAAATCAGCATCAAAAATTCAAACAACTTTCATGAATTTCAGGCATTTTTAAGATCATTTTTTCATAGAAAACTCCCTGTATTCTGCATCAGGGTTGGATCAAAAAATGAATTTCGCTAAAAAACTGTTTTCATTCCTAGGATATTAGTCTATTTGTGTTCTAGTATCATTTTACAACATTAGAACTCGGTTGTCACTGTTGCAAAGTCGACTCAATCTTTTTATGCTGATGCAGAATATGATATTAATTTTTAATGTATGTAATGTTAGCACCGCGTTCGTGTATTTCCTGCCCGNAGGGTTGGATCAAAAAATGAATTTCGCTAAAAAACTGTTTTAATTCCTAGGATATTAGTCTGTTTGTGCTCTAGTATCATTTTACAACATTAGAACTCGGTTGTCATTGTTGCAAAGTCGACTCAATCTTTTTATGCTGATGCAGAATATGATATTAATTTTTAATGTATGTAATGTTAGCACCGCGTTCGTGTATTTCCTGCCCGGATTCGCTCCCTAACCAGTGTTGGGTCTTCGAAGAGTTGTGCTGGATATAGAAGCTTATTCCTTATCGAATGGTATTATTTTCAATGGGGGTTACTGGGCGAAAAATTTCCCTTGATTGTGAATCTACTCTTAGATACCACTGCAGGTGTTGACGTGGGTGTGTTCGAGTCATGAGCAAAGATCATGTGATTAGGTCGGAGGTCTCTGTCGGAAATAGGACGAAAGCACTGAACAAGAAGTGCATGTTAGTCGTTGTTCGATGACACTCTCATCCACACCAACACCTTCAGTGACATCTACCCATAGATGCACAGTCAAGGGAAATTTTTTACCCACCCAATCACTCGCTATTAAAAATTGTACCGTTCGATAAAGAATAAAATTCTGCATCGAATCCTTGATGAGATATGAATGTCAATGAAAATGCACTTTTTTCTTGTGACATTGCGCTCAAAAATACTTAAACATCTCAAGAAAGAAACATTAGCGATTGTTTCAAAATTGACCTTGTTCGAGGGTGGCTTAAATGAACATGCTCATTTTAAAAAATGAAAAGACTTTGACCAATTTTTCGATCCATTTCTCACTTTGGTTTTGCAAAAATCAATCCATATTTCTGGCAAGCTAATCCAACAGTTGGTGTATAAACCAATGGCATAGTTTCCTCAGTATGTTGCATAAGGACACGATAGAATAATGTTTCATTTCGATCTTGTAGAGCAAGTAAAGCAATATATCGTGATAAATCATCAGGCATAAGCCGTAGATTTTCCATAAAACGTTCAATTTGTAATTCTATTGTAGCTATTGAAGGTGGTAAAAGACCATGAATACGTAATGCTTGTCGCTCTTCAATAGAGAAAGCTGTACCCTATGACAGAAAAAAGAATAAACATTAAAATTTTGTCTAAAACAATTCAAGAATCACACTGACTTTATCAGTACGTCCATCGAGTAGAACATTACGACCTATCAAATAACGATGAGACGACATTATTCAATCTAAAAATTGTCTCTTATTAATGTAGCATAAATATAACATCAATAAATTGTATCTACTGATGAAGCATAAAATATCATAAAATATTTAATTAAATTGAATGATCATATTGATGTTTGCGTATCGTTAACAATCAAATATATGATAATGATTACCTCTCGTATTTCATTTATCACCTGTGAAACCAAAGAAAATATGTGCCTCCTTCTTTCTCGTTCTATTTGATTGCCAAAGAACGCAAGAAGAAAAAAATAAAAATAATATGATTAAACGAAATATAATTAAGTAATGAAATTGCAAGAAATGCTAATTCGTTTATCATTTTATTTCTCTTTTATTAATCCTTTGAGGAAAGAATTAATTTTTAATTGGAAAATGGCTCTTTCGTCAGTTTATTGTATTTGGCTCAAAATGATTTCGTAGAAGCCTTTTGACAATGCACTAAGATAAGAGAGGAAGTAATTACGGCATCAGTATATAAAGCAGACGAAAAAGAGAAGATCTGATGACCATCTATATGACAGGAAGAAAGAAAGAAAATATATGCATGCGATGGCTGCTGGAACGACTTACTACTGTACGGGTGATAACAGTTTAATGAGAAGCAAACATTTTCCTTATTGGAGAATAGATGGTACAACCCTTGTACCACGGTTCCGAAAGGGCTAATGAATATGATTACTTTTAGGACTTTTTGTCAAATGCTCATAAAAAATCGAGGGATCAATATTTTTCAAAACGGTTTCCGTCGAAATTCTCAAAAGTCTTTCCTCTACAACATGTCTTAAATTGAGCAGAATCTGACGACCTCGATTGAGCAAGAACAGTCGCGGCATACATGAACTGGGTCATAAAACCAATATACTACAGTACATTTGAAAGTACACATTGTGCTCTATATAACTAGCTATAAATCACAAAATTGATCATTCTTACCAAAATTTACTTTTTTAGAGGGGGGGGGGGGGAACCCTTAATTATTAAGTAGTTGGATATTTTTCGAAAAAGTATCTCTTTTGAGAAGCTACGCTTGCAACTTTATCATTGAGCAAAATCATTTTCTATAAGCATTTTAATATTAAAAGATGAGTAAGAAATAACGTTCACAGAGTTTGATTCAGACGGATTGAATCCGAATACAACTTTTGTCATGCATTTCGAACTCTATTATGTATACATACTTGTACAGTGTTTTGCTTTATTTGCTCTTGTGCTGTGTATTACATTATTTTTTTTTCTTTTTTGTATATGTATATATTCTCTTTTGGCACATTCTGTCAACGAGAATATCGGCATATCATCGCATATGAAAGACAGGCAATTGTTTGAAGAAAGAAAGAGAAGATACAGCAGGCTTGTTTTTTTGTATGTAAAAAGCTTCTATATATTTCTTGGTGTTGACAGAAATGGAAAAGATAAGCTTAACTTGCAACTGTTATTAAAAGAAAGAAAAAAACAACGCATTTGGTTAGAACTAATTGGAAATATTTTATTTTTAGTATCTATTTCATCAATATCTTGACGTTGTGTGTATATAAACAGAGTTTCATAAAAATAGTCACAACGTTATTTTTCACACATTTTCTTGATATAAAAGACTTCAATTTTTATCACATAGATATCTAAACAAGATAAATTTTCGTACTGATTTTTGTTTTGTAATCTTTTCTATACTGATTATGGAATTGTTTCGGATATTAGTTAGCTATATTCGGGTTGAGTTATAGTCCACAATAAGAAATTAATAAATTAAAAATACGAACTACTGAGAGCAAGTCTCAATCGGATTTTCAGATATTCAGAATTTAGTATATACGATCCAGTATATATCAGCAACGGCTAAACATGCTCAATCTACGGTATATATTGTAGAGAGAAAAGCCGTCAGAATTTTGATAGAAACCTGTTTGAAAAAAAAGCATTATTCCGTTGTCGAAATATTTAAATTTCTCTGTGAGCACAATCGTGAAAAAAGCACATTTTTTGTGACATCTATTTCTCATCAATAGTATGTGTTTGAATTGAAATTTTCACTGTAAGTGGGTATTATGATTTTGTACTACTGGAAACATCATGAGCTCAAATAGTTGAACTATTGATGAGTTGATTAGTACCACCGGGTTTCTGATAAAATGATCACTTTTCGTTATTTCTCTACATTTAGAAATTTCATGAACGGATCATTTCAGAGACCTGAAATTTTTACTATAGAGAGACCTTATTGAATATTTGGTCCAGTAAAAAAATTAGCTCTCTGCATAGTTTCTATCGTCGAAAAGATCTTCCATAAACTCATGATTTTGATGAAAATCATGAGTTTGGAAGGGTTCGATCTCCTAAGGTATAGTTCCTATGGGAGTCAAACTCATGTTGATTTAAAGTACCCATTGCGTACAAAGTTACGAAAAAAAGCTTGTTAGCGCAGCCCCATTGGGGCTGAAATGTGGAACTCACATAGCTCCTTTAGCCTGATTGTACTGATGCAAAATATGCAGGGTGAAAAATTTGTACCATTTTACATTTGCTTTCCAATATCATCGGTCGGCAGAAACATAATCTATTTAATTCCTTCTTGAATCTTGAAAAGAATTCTTTTTGCTTTCTTTGCAGGCACTCTATTTTTGTTGCCATTCACTCTTTATTTTTATTTTTCGTATTTTTTTTGTTCACGTTTTTTTTTATTCAATTGTATTATTACTGCATCCATTGATTCAACCGGCAAGTATGCCTCTGACACATGTACATTTTACCTACAGCAAATATGAATGAACTATGATATATCTCTGTCAAGTCAGAACACTGACACTGAGTTTTTTTCAAATTTATAACTTGCTCAATTGATCATTTCTCATAATAATCGTTGACATCTTAAATATAAATTTTTATCTAGGCAGAATCCAAAACTGAACTATTAGGAAGTTGTGGATATGGGTGTCGGTGTGTGGTTGTGGCTGTGCATTATCTCTTCATGAATACCCACACCTGCCTATTCACGCCCACACCCACCTGATGGACTCATTTATAGCGGATAGGATTATTTTAGCCTTATTAGCTCTACATCGAATCAAATAACATTTTTTGTATTCAGTTTTTCATGCTGATTCAGAATATAGTATTTTCAACAAGTTCACAAAATAATTGAAATCTAAATTTGACAATTTCTATAAAAAAAAAGAAAATTCAAGGTAAAAATGACATTTTCTTAGTCATCCTAGATTTTTAAGGTTTTCTCAGCCCAACAGTGGCCGAATCGAAATAAAAAGTGTATATTCGTGATCATCTTTTGAACCGCTATCAAACCATATATGTAAACGAGAAAAAAATTCACTCCAATTTTGCATTTGCGGCATCTTAACTATAGTGTTTACGATCCAGACGAAATAAATGCAAAATATTGGCAAAGTTTACGATACACGTGACATCAAGCGCACTTGAGGATGTGGGTGTAGGTGTGATCGAAAACTATACCTACACCCGCATCCCTACTTCAATAAAATATATAGAAGAAAAAAGTCGAGATTTTCAGATTTATAGATGGAGGGTTTGGGGGCTTGATTAATGTTTTATTGATTCAAAATTATGTAGTTCTAGAATATAAAGATACCAGATGAGTTCTTCAAACAAGGACAAAATGTATGACCTAGTTTGAATCTAAATTTTGAGATGGGGTGCTTAACACACCTACATCTTCATCGTTACATTCACCCACATCGTCATCCTCACTGTCATCCACATTATCCACATCATCATCTTCATCCGCTTCTTTACTCCCACTCACATTCTTACAAACCTCTCCATCAGTATTTTGGCTATCATCCTCAAATTCTATGAGGGTGATAGATTCCTTTGTTGCCGACAGTGAACTTGCTTGTGATAAGCCATAATCATTATCATCATCAAATACGATAAGATCATTATCAGGTTGACCACTATCGATATTCGATGGGCGCTGATTATTCAAGTCATTTGTCGACGTCAAAGAAGAGAATTGTACCAGTTCACCTATTTTGTGCTTGTATTTCTGATGTTGAACTCGAGCTGCATCGGTATTAAATTTCCTCTGACACTGGGAACAGCTAAATGAATCCCCATTTTTGGCAGCATCATTTTGCTTCTCCAATGCATTGCTATTGTCTGCCGTTTGGACAAATAAGTTGCAATCCATCCATGTCTTTTTGGTTAAGTC